CTTATATTATATATTAGAGTTTAACTTAACCGAGGACTTAGCGTGTTCTAAGGAGTGGAGTTCAAGAAAAAAAAAACACATCTTGAGGATCGAACTCAAGACCTAGGGTAAAGAGGCATCTCAAAAGGGTCAGACCAAACCAACGTGCCATTTTATATGGGGTGGAAGCTCCCTGGGGTTAGTATCGGCATCTGTACATTCAACAAGTTAAGGAACGAGATCCTAGGATACCTAGGAGAAAGATCCCATGTCACTGGCATCGAGGTTTTGACTTGGAGGGATCTAAGCTCCACTATATATAAGACGAAATCAACTAACAGTACATGATAAAATTAGGATCAAGCCAATGCCCGCTCGATCCATTATCATATGCCTTAGCTTATTATCGATGCCACAGTTATAGTACTCCAGTTTATGACAATAATACATTTTAATTATATCATAAATTGGCCTACTATGATATTAAACTGCAGTTTAATAATACCATAAATTGGCTTACCCCCAAGGTTCGCACAACTATGGACTCAGTGAGGAACTCAGCCTTGGTTCCCTTTTGGATTTGTAAGCTTGTGGGTAGCCATGAGCTTGTTGACCTTCAGTTGGGCCGTGGTAGCTTCAATCAATCGGATAACCAAACAAGGCTGGTTAGTTTATAATATGTGCTGCTTCTTAATATCTATAGAGTAGGAGAATTTGGGGTTCCTCTAGCTTGATTAATTATGGTGTCAACAATTCCAGCAACATGTCCGGCATTCAAATGCCACTGCTGACCTACCCAAGTAAAAAGCATAGTTTTGGAGAGTCTATCGGTACTCCCTTTTTTTGGAGAATAGTCTCTCTCTCTCTTTCTCTCTGTCACTGTATCGGATAGGATAAGCATTTTCTTAATATATCACATCTATGTCCTTTTTTGAGATCATAACAAGTTGCTGGAGTTCTATCTAGTGAAAGGTAAGGTAGGTCTGTTTCACATTCTAGAAGAAACATTGATTACCTGACGACAAGTTAGACAAGTGGAATTTGAAGATTTGGACTGGAAAGCATTAGGAGAGGATGGCTTTGGAAAGGTCAATGGTCTCGATGGACCCTTTATAAGCATATATTATCTGAAACCAATGGAGAGAAGCTGGTGAGAGTAAAGAATTTTGAAATTTATAATGACAATGTGAAATTAGATGGTGCATGAAATGGAGGATAAAACTCTCAATAGGTAACCAGAACTGGTGTTTTTCTGTTGATTCATCATACTTGTAACAGGCCATGATTCATCACAGTGTTGGAGGAGATTAATGTTATGTGTACCATGGTGGGGGTCATTGTTAGTCTCCATACAGCAGACTCTGGGTTGAAGGCCTCTACTGATGACCTACACCTCTCTCAATGGTTCTGTAAACCTATAAATCACTATGCTTGTGTTGTTTCCTTACAGTTTCTTAATAAATATTTCAGGGGATGTGTAGGTGTTGTTTCATGGGAGTTCTTCTAGATGGATCAACGAAGGGATGAATGCTTCAGTTTTCCTTCTTCTTCTATAATGGATGAGGAACGATCACCAAGATGTTGACCATCAATCTGGAAGGAAAAATAGGAGCCTGTAAAACTGTTCAGGTCATTTAGTTCATTTGGTGGTTCATATATTGGCAGTTTTAGTCCCCTAGGTTGATGAAGATGATGTTGCTTCCAAATTCCTTATAAAGTAAAACTTTTTAAAATAAAGCTGATTTGGTTGGAGTTTTGTGGCCCAGACATGCATGAATGATTTATAAGGTCCATAGTTACTCGAATCTCTCACCGAAGGTTGCGATTCCGATTTAGAACCCTGATTCAGCGATTTCAACTAGGAATTTTCCTGGAACCCGTTTTCGTACAGTTTAAAATTGTGATTCCTTATTTTAGGAATCTTGAGTCCAACATTTATAGAATTTCTTTTCCAATATTTATTGATTCTTGATCCCAGAGGTGAATCTCGATTCTACACTTGTTGAAACTGTATCCACATATGCGAGAATTTTACCACTTTCCCCTTTTGTTTTTTTTTTTTTGTTTTTTTTTTTTTTTGTTGTTTTTTTTTTTTTGTAGAAGTGAGATTTAGAAGTTTTCAAAGAATCAAATACTGGAGCTAGACACATTATCTCAAGCTACAAGGTGTAATCATCTTTTTTGGCATAAAATGACTAATAGAAACCAAAGTGGTGGTCCACGTTCTCTACTTAATTCTTTCAGTATGCATTGTATTGATCCAATGAAGAGATTGCAACTCCAAGATGTTCGAAATAATGTAATACAAATAATGTAAACGTGCATGTATGGCATGTTGATCAATGAATGACATTGAGACAAGTATTGTACCCTTCTCAGTTCCCTCTCGATTCCAAAGATGTCGGAATCTCGATTCCATATTCATTGATTCTAATTAGGTCAGAAACTCGATTCCAAAGAGCTAGGAAACTCGATTCCATCTATGTAGGTATCTTGATTCTATTTTGGTCAAATCTCGATTCCTAAAAATAGGAATCTGGTCCCCCACGATTCCTCTTGTGCAGATGTCAATTCCGAAACTGGAATCTTTCAGTTGGCAGCAATTCTGCGCTTTCGATTCGCTTCGGGTAACTATGATAAGGTCTACATGGTAGAGAGTTAAGATCTCAAGTGCTGCTGTTTCTAAAAGCGATGATATCAATCGGAGATGGAGAGTGGATTAGGACTTGAGTTTCTACATCATCCTTATCCATAACTTTTTTTTCTTATTTTAGGTTGTTAGTTGACTACCAGGAAGTTTTGGGGTGTACCGAGGATTTGCATCAGACTGCAATTTTTCTCCCATAATTAAAATTTCTAGTTGTAGATTATACTTCTATGTTATGCAAAACAACAGCTTCATAGGCTTGGAGTTCATGCTTTGATTTGTGATGTCATGAATTGATGTCTAGCCAGATGTTTAATACAAGGAACAATCAGGTGATGGGGGATGTAATTGAGAGTAGGGATATAAAGGAACGTTGTGGTTTGGTCAGCAACTCAAAGGACTTTATTGTGATGACAAATTGGCATATTTTGTAAAGACGATTAGTAAAACATCTTACATATAAATGACACTTTAGAAGAGCTTATCATGGTGTCATCTAGAGAAGAACATGTCATCATAATTAGATTCCATGGAGCTATTGTGAAGAATTCATGAAAACACGGTACGTTTGCAGAGATGTCGTTTGTTGGTGTCAGACTTGAAGTGTGGGCTTGATAGAATCACTAGTCAAGTGTGGTTCAACTGTAACAGATAATGCCTGGTCCTGAGAAAGTCAGCCTTGCGTTGCAATGCTGTGTAAAATAGTGATAGCATGGTTACAGAACATGTGGCAGATGCTGGTTCATGTTGGGGGCGGATGTGGGCAGATTATGGAGTATGGGGTGATCGGCTAGGATTTCTCAGGTTTCACCAGGGAACTCACTAGCCTCCCTTGTCAGCGGAGGTTTTCTAGACCTTTGTTGGGTGCATATAAGGTTGAAATAAATGAGCGCTTGCTCGTCTTTGGTTGCATTTTGTTCAAAGAAATCTAACATTTGATTGTTGGTTGGTTTTGAAATATTGAACCATTAATGACTGAAGGGACAAATGAACGTCGGTTTGTGTGTTGTTCTACACATAATTCATATGTGAACTTGAATTTAGATTAATTATTATTGGACTAACTTTTAAATTTTTCCTAAATTTCCGTTTACATAACCAATGTTTATACCTCTCTATAAATTTAAGGAGAAACTGGTCATTTCAATGAAGATCTTACAAAAGCACCAGCTCCGTGATGGGCTATGACCCAAATCCTCTTAATAGATGAGGCAGGCGGGTATGAATGCATAGATAGGCAAACTGGATTCCTTCATTACATTGCCCACTCTTTGTGGCAGGCAAAAGCCTCCAAATATGAGGTGTAAGGGGGAAGTGTCATCTTCACCTACTGTATTTTTGTTTTTTGGACTAGGTTTTTGTTCGCTGACATATCTTAAGTACAATAGTGCCTAATCATTTATTCTAAAGATTTACATACTAAGTTAAGCTTCACAAATAGCTAGCATAGAATTTTCCTCATTCAAAAATTTACTTTAATTTAATGATATGTATTATTTATAATGACAAAACTGTTACTAGGAGAAATGTGGGATGATCCATATGGTCATGATAACAACATGTTCCTGCGGATGATTACTGTGCATTCAAATGGGTTGGGCAATGATGGAGGGAAAATGGAATGTATGAATGAACTAATTACATGTTTGGTGGTACCCACTTTCCACTTCCTCCATCATCGTCCTATCCATAGATGGGATAGTGATGACCCGCATGATCTCTATTCTTCATGTTTGTTGAAGGAGATTATAGATGACTTTGAAATGATCCTAGTAACTTCCCCAAATTTCATCTGTTCACTTTAGGTGATCTTCAATCAAAAATATAAAAATCTATTTTTTCGAACTGCTCTTGCTATCAATTATTACAAATGTGCCTCCCGCTATCAGTTTATACTGTAAATGGCTTAAGCATAAAAAGATATATGACCTCCCAATAGAAATTCACCAGTCTCTGCCTAGTCAGTATGAAATCTACACTAATAAGCATTAATGGCTCAAACTCCGGATTGGGCTTCCTTTCTAAGCCCAAGCAAGATGTAAATGCCATACAATTTTGAAATTTTGAAATATTATGAACCAAGATTTCAATAGTCTGTGTGATGAATTTAAGAGCTGGAATATTTTCTTGCTATGTAGGAAATTATCTCCAAGCAAGATGTAAATTCCTCAATTCCTCCCCAGTAAGCTAATGTAGTTAAACTGAGCTAGGATTTTCAGTCTAATGTGAGCTGTAAATCACTCTCAGTTATGACTAAAAGACAATTACTGACCTTTTTATAGCAATTTTGGGATACATGATATTGATTCTGAAAGCACACTATTATTCCTCTCTTCCATCACTAAAGATCGAAAAGTATTTTGTTTGCTCGTTAAACAGGGTCCTTAGAAGACTTTTCTTTGCAAGGCGTCGAAAGGATCCTTCAACCATGTGAGATACCCCATTTCCCAGGTGCTCGCCAGAAGAGATAAAACTAAAGGCACTTGTACAAGTTCAACATTCCCATCGACTCATGCTGATTTATTTGTTGAATCATTCCTATGTTAGTGTTCAAAGAATTTCATAGGGAAGTCTGTAATTTGTTAGTTCATACTCTTTTAGGAAAGGAGTGTCGAGGTTACTCTGGTCTTTCTGTTTGCTTATCATTTACCTATAAATTTCGGAGCCTCTGGGATGTATCTGGTACAAAGTCATTAAACTTAGGAGTCATAATTGACTTTGTTCCTACAAATCCTGTCGTCATGGATTCTAAAGGATGATCTCTTTTATGGGTGTGTTCCTGAGAATCTTGGAAGTGGAAGTGGCAGATTAAGATAACTTATTCCAAAAGAAATCTGGTTGATATGATCTGTTTACAAATGAATTCTGCATAATGATATTGTAAAGATGCATAGGCGCCCGCGCGTACACACACACACACGCACAGAGACATATGTATATATATATATATCTATATATATATATATATATATATATATATAGAGAGAGAGAGAGAGAGAGAGAGAGAGAGAGTAGCGTACTTACTTTACGTGACTAGTAGTACGTCCTTCCTTCCTACTAGTAGGTAACTACTAACGTACGTAAGTTATTTAATTAGTTATTT